ACATACATACATACAGACGTAGCATATGCACACATATACACATATACACTATACATATATGCACACATGTACACATATACAGTCAAACTACATGCTTCATTGTAGTAATGTTTTTAATAAATGCGGAAATTATCATATATCAGCGAGGAAATGGGGCTTAAGCTTGAAATCCACTAGCGCAATTGAGCTGCTTAAGTTGCAAACATTGAGCTAGAATATGCCCTTTGTGGATTTGAATATGAGTCAGGTCACCTCGGCACATATAAAAGAGCTTTGAGGCACAGTTTTATTAATAGATGGTCTATTTCTTCACACCTTTGCTGTCAGGGTGAGTATTGCTATTGTACTCTGGTGGTGTTTTAACTTTCTTCTAATTTCTGAGAGAACAGGTCGCTTATGTATTCGACTTTCCAGGCTCTGACGAAGGCGAAACCGCCAAACGTTGGCCAATAAAGAATAATTAAAATCTTGGTATATTGCTCAAAACAGCTACAGTTTGAGCTAGAATATTTTCCCTGTATGTATTCGACGAACTTGTTGACATCCGATTTATCTCAAGTCCATTTTGACTCTTACTGAGTTCATAACATGGAACGGATGTTGTGTTCTCCAACGTTGTTGTTTTCAAGCTTCCAAAGAGCAATTGAACAGTGCTCGGCAATTGCAACCTGAACATATCCGTAAAATAACAAAATGGCAAGGTTTTATAAGAAGTGATGAAAAAACAGCAATTTCTTAAAAGGTTTCCTTTTTAACAGTAATTGGTTTATGCTCACTTAATTTTGCTCAACTTCAGAGCATATTTCCAGTTATCTCAGTTTTCCTCGATAGTTTCGTATGTTCAATCTCTATTATCAACTTACTTTAATTTAGGCTTTGTAAATAATTTTGGCCAAATTCCAACGCAGCTATTCAAAAAACCTCACCCACAAAAGAAAGTGAGTATATTTTTCAAGCCCAATGGATTGTAGTGTAATTTTCCGCTCAGGTAAGCCCGGTGGATGGTTTTTCTAATACGCCTGGAGTGACAACTCAGCGACTGTTCTACCATTGCCTTCATTCTCTGAAACCACCGCAAAATCCTATCAGAGGTACTAAAAAATTAAGTCGCTGTTCAAACTTCTATTTTTTGTTTTAGAATTAAGATCTGCCGTAGGATCGATTTATCAAAGCGAGCGAGCTGGTCTTATTGTACTGGAGCAGAATAAAGTTCTGATAGGAACGAACAAGTACATCGCCTGGGGCTTTCCAGATCGATCACTACGTTTGGGTCAAATAGATTCTGATAAGGTACATACGTAATATTTCTTATTGATTTCGCTTTCTATACCTAAGTTACAGTCCTTATGTATCCATGAGATGTGTGATGCCGATGAATTGACTTGTGTAGCTAGTGGCGACGATCGCACGTTGTTCTGCGGAAGTAGCACTGGTTGTGTGAGGTTTGTTTGCCAAACCTTTAGACGATTTGACCATATATTGTTCTCTAGCGGGAATTTAATGTTTCAGCGTGTGGACGTTATGCCGAAAGCCGTTTTCCCTGAAGAGAAGAAAGCTATTAGATGGACATTCCGATGCTGTCACTTGCCTGGTTGATATTTTCAAAAAAAA